AAAAAAAAAGCTTTTTACATTCAAACATTCCATTTCACAAAATTTTTTAAATTCACAATCATACTTTTTAAGCATCACCCTTTTGCCAGAAATGATCATCATCATATGTTCAAGAGAAGAAAAAAAATTCATTTTCTATCTCACACATTTAATAGCATACAAGTAATAGTCTCCTATTTGAAAATCTTCTCCCTTTTCAAAAATATCTTGTAAATATACAATATTATAAGGGCAGGAGAACAAAATCCCAATTTTCTTCACTTGCATAAATAGGACTAGTGGTTTCGAGGGTTATTGTACAAACCAAAGAGTAACTCAAAGAGCATCATCACCATTACAATCCAAAGAAAATGTTTGGACTTGGAGAGCTGATGGCAAAGGTAGAAGAGGAAAGGTTGGAAGCCATGTACCAAAGGAGAACAGAGGCAGAAGAAAGGAATCGCGACGATGGCGATCACATAATCCCACGCCATTTTGCAATCAAATCCAAATACAACGACAAGTACCTCCGCTATGTAAGCTACGACGACGACCAACTATTCGACGGTCTTCTCCAGTTCACGGGCGAAAGAATGATAAGCCCATACACGAAGTTCGAAGTCGAGTATTCAGACATTGGGAAGGGGTATGTCCAAATAAGATGTTGTTACAACAACAGATATTTGGTTCGTCACCGTATTGACACATCGTATATCGTTGCAGCTGCCTCTGAACCCGTAAATGACCTTTCAGATTGGAGATGTACGTTATTCGAACCGACCTACGATCGCCATCACAAGGCGTATCATTTTCGCCATGTTCAGCTTGATGCTAACGTGTATATATACGACTTCAATCCCGACATCTCCTACATTCTCAATGCGTCTCCTTCCGAAAATTACAATGACCCTAAAGTATCACTCTTTCCCATCGTCGATTGGGACTCCATCTATATACTGCCGAGACATGTGGCCTTCAAGGGGAACAATGGGAAGTATCTCAAGTTTATAGGGCCAAAGCTTCAATTTTCAAGTTCTGATATTAAGGATTCGTCAGTTGCACATGAGATCTTCCCTACAAAAGATGGGAATATTCATATAAGGCATGATGAATCTGGCAAGTTCTGGATCCGTGATCCTGATTGGATACACGCCCAATCAAACGATGCTAATAGCAATGATCCCAACACCTTGTTTTGGCCCGTCAAAGTTGAAGACGACGTCGTGGCTCTTCGTAACTTGGGTAATCTCAACCATCATCTCAATAAACTTAGTTTAAATCGACTAGACTACTAATGAAATTTAATCTTTTATTCATATTTTTTGCATAGTTACCTCAGTTGTTGTGTTAACTTTCAGAAATAATGTGCATTGAAATAATGTGCATTGAAAAATAGTTTTATAAATAGATTTGTTTTAAAAGATGGCAAGAATAAGTAATTTTGGCCATATCAAGCAGGGTGACCCTACAACTACTCATTTGTGTTATTAGTTTTTATCTGAAGATAGCTTAACTAGTTAATATATCTATTTCGGACTACACTCCTACAAACTTAAATATTTTTTAAAACTACATTGTTATTAGTCAATACCTTCACTAGTGAGCTTTCCAATACAAGATCCAATAAGTTATTAAATCATAAACATAAAGACATTTCTAACTAATACCATATTAAATTCCCATCGGATCCAAAAGCTTTAAGCTATTAGAATGACCATAAGTTTAATCTTCTTACTTATATTCTTAATAGGTAATGTTAAGGATGAATAAACCACCACTCAACTCAAAAACTTAAACTGATGAGTTGAGTAAATTTAATTCATTTATATAGATTATGAACAGGTAACCATCGTTTCTGCAAGAGACTCACCATCGAGGGAAAATGGGATTGTTTGAACGCTAGTGCGTTTTCCCTTACCGACGAAGCGCGAATGGTGGTAGAAGAGATTGTAGTCTCAAGGACCATTGACAATGTGGAGTATAGGCTCAATGATGCTAGAATCTATGGCCAAAAGATAGTGTCGATGGCGAAAGGAGATGCTATCAACACGACGAAAGAAACTGACATAGTAACCTTTAAATTCTCTTATGAGAACAAAACTAAGACAAACTGGACTTCCACCCTCTCAACAAATATTGGTGTGACCACAAAATTTCAAGCTGGGGTTCCTATTGTCGGAAAGGGAAAGATTGAAGTTTCAGCTGAGATCGGGAGTGGATATGAATGGGGAGAAACCCATAAACACAAAAATACAATTGAACTTAATTACCCTGTGACTGTGCCTCCAATTTCTAGGGTGAAGATTAATGCTGTGGTAAAACAAGGGATGTGCCAAGTTCCTTTCTCATACCGTAGAACTGATCTTCTCAAAAATGGCCGACGAGTTGTTCATCATCTTCATGATGGACTTTTCAGTGGTGTAAACTCCTACGACTATGAATTCATGTCTAAAGTTGTGCCAATGGAGTCTGTAGAAGGGTAATATTGTTACGGTAATTTCTAGAGTGAATTTTATGGCTCTGTTTCTTTAAGGTAATTTTCTCTCTTGTAAAGAATAATGGTTGCAAAACCAAGTTTAAATCTCGTTTGGGAGTGTGTGGTATGTTTTGGTGTTTATTTCTGTGATGTAATTTTTGTAATTTTATATTTGGATGTGTAATAATGAACTAAGTTTCTTGATGGTCATTTGAATATTTCTATTTATGCAGTGGTCAATTTTACAGGATTGTTCTTGATTTATTTCTAGTTTCTTATATTTTTTAAGAAATGGTTTCAAAGGCATTGTATATAAAAGTTTGGAACAAAAAGTTATGATTTTTTTTTAGTTTAATTTTCGTAAAGTATAAAAGTGATCTCTATAATTTGAGCATTACGTCTTTTAATTATAGGGACGCTTCAAATGTTAAAAATAACTTCTTGTATATGTCGATATCTATCTATCACATTCTTGAAAAGCCAACTCTCTTTTTTTTTTCTATCTATCTAATAGATATATATCTAATTAAATGAAGTATTAAACAATGATTTTTTGAAAGGGTTTAAAAATAATTTCTTTTAATACAACATGGAGATTTGTAACTTCAACCTCGAGACACCTTTTGTTTTGGCAAGAGTTTAAAATCAATATTAAAAAGAGCTGTAAAACAACTACAATATGATTAAATTGAAGTGTCAAGCTTTGTAAGTATATTTACCAATGCTATTTATAAGACATGAACATATGGATCAATTACGGTTAAAATACTAGTTTTGGTCTCTGTACTCTTAAAAAGTCCTGTTTTGAAAAATTTTAACATAAATTTTATGCATAATGGGAACCTTTTAATATAAAACCATGGTAATATTTTAAGAAATATATCGATATCACATCTGATGAAATCATAATAAAAAAAATGAGACTGAAAAATTAAATTAAGGAACCAAATGGTTACTTTTTAAAAGTTCATGGACTTAAACTTACATTTTGAAAGTACAAACATCAAAATGAACCAAAGTTGAAATTACAAAAAACCAAAATGAATATTTTAAAAATATAGGAACAAAAATATGAACCAAAACTAAAAGAACTAAGTATAGGAACCAAGTAGTATTTTGCCAGGTCTAATTTTGGATATGTCAAATTTCCATTATATTCGTGAAACATTCCATGTTTTTAAATAACTTCAAAAAATAAAAATAAGAAAGTTATATTATTATCTAATAATTTATTGGGATAGATAAATACAAAAGTCTCCCAATTTCAAGAAAAGTAGATGTCATTTATTGGAAATTTTAGTGGTGGAGTTATTTATAAATATAATAATTAAGAGAGCTAAACTTTTTAACATTACTAAAACTAAAATAACAGTAAAAATAACTAAGGATATATTTAGATTTATTAAATCAACTATTAGTAATTTTATAGTTTGAATAATTTGATGGTTTGAAATGGATATATTTATAAAATTAATCTGACCAGACAATTGTACTGTATTTGATTATCAATAAATATGGTAGGATTTAAATTTTTCTTAATTTTCACCATAGTCATTTTAGTCTCAGAATTCAAATTTTTTTTTTTGTCTCAAATCTTAAAAATAATTTTATTTTCATATTTACATTTTTTAGTAGATTTTATTTTCAGCAAGAACTTTGTATAAAACTTATTGTTGGTCCGATTGCATTGCATTCGACCAAACTTTCATATGATCATGTGATTTTTCATGAAAATCTGAAACTAAACTAAATTAAGTTCCAAGTCTTATTTTATTCGGTGAATAAAGTACCTATTATTATTATAAATTAAATTCTATCTCAAATTTAGATATATATATTTCTTTAGAATAATGGTTTGAAAAAAAAATGCATATCATTCGAATTGAAATCTCTTGTATTATTTTCAACCAAAAATATAACATTGTGTAAATCTTTAATCTAAAAAAACAAAACAAAACAAAGAATATAAATAAACAAGGGACCGTTTAACCATAACCATTTTTTTTCTGGTTTTTGGTTCAACAAGTAACTAATTCAATTTAATGTTTTCTGTTTTTTAAAAATATTTTTTTAATTATAAGTAACATTTAAAAACCAAACAAAGTAATTCTTAAAAATATATTTCTATTTCTTAAAATCTCTTTTTTTTTTCTCCAGACTTCTTTTCATTGGCATATTTCTCCGTAATAAATATTTATTTCTTACTATAAATTTTTCCTGAACTTATATGGCTAAAAAATGTCTCTCTCTTTTTATTGATTTTTTCTCTCTTTCTAATTTTCCTTTCTTTTTTCTTCGACATGTCTCTTGCTCTCTGTTAAGATCCAACTTCAAAAAGATAAATACCTAACAAAGGTTTATAATAGATTTGGACTACTCCTATGACTGTCAATTAATTTTCAGATGTAACCCCATAAATTTTAATATGACATCAGAGCTCAAAACACTCAAACGAGCATTCGATTAAAAAATAAGAGATTGATGAGCCAAAAATGCCACAATCTTGAGGGACACATATTAATATTCATGGATAGATAATGTGGGATCCCTAACAACTGAAAATATAAACGACCTAATAAGTGTTTATAATAAACAAAAATATTCAATGCGTAAATTTCCTATTATATTTCTTTTAGTAACCAAATCATACTATTTCACAACAATCCATTCATCTGCCAATTATTTTATTTGTCCTTTTTCAATCATATCACTACTCACTGACTCACTCATTTCTAGCTATTTTGTTTTTCTTCTTTCAATTATTTTACATCTCAGCGACAAACCCAATTATTTTGTTTGTCCTCTTGAAAATATTTATTATTAATAAGCCAATTTTTCCTCACGTGGAAGCATATGTATGAGGCCAAAATAGTTTCACAGTCATTTATAATTGGATAAGATGACAATGACAATATATATTTGAGTACTGGAAAATAAAATATTTGATTCAGTTGTAGTTGAAAATTTATTAAGGTTATTCTTTCACTAATAATAGCTCTCTATTGTAGATAAAAATAAAAGCTACAATATGAATATAAAACAAATTATAAACTTATATATAATAACTAAATTTTACATTTTATAATTTGTTTTCTCCAAAATCTTCGTTAGATAATAATAGTTTCTAAAATATATTCGCAAAAATATGTCTTTAGAAAATCATATACAAAATATAGCTAGGATCCTATGTAATAAAGAAAAATACATTATACTCATTTATTTCATTATTTGAGTCATTTGATAAAAGGTAATTAATTAGTTATTTATACTTTAAAAAAAAGGTATCTGAGTTTCGTATCAAACTAATTAATTACCTTTGAAAAAAGAGAGACTGGGAAGTTGAAAACCAACTTCCAAATTTTTGTTAAATTTTTTTTTTCTGAGAAATTTTGTTAAATGATTAACTAAATAACTTTTTAATGCAAAATTTAAGGATGATAATAAAATATTTAGAAAGAATCTTAAAGATGAATAAACCACCACTCAACCAAAAGCTTAAGCTGATCGGTTGGGTAAATTTAACTCATTTATATGGATTTTCAATAAAGAAGAAAAAAAAACTTTTATTATTATTATTATTATTAACGGTTTTTTTAGGAAGACACACAAACTTAACTCTACTTTTTGTCATCAATACTCTCAAGAGCAGAGCATATTAATTAGTTGCATAATTATTTAGAAAAAAATACTAAGATGACACAAAATCCAAACCATATTGTAACTTCAAAAGCTAACGAGACCTAATTGAAAATCAATATTAAAACTATTTGTAAGGATTAATGTATCTCTATCTTTTTTTTTTTTAAGAATAATGTTAGATTCAAATTTGTATCACGATAATATATGTTTAAAAAAAACATAGGTTAAAATTAGACAAATTTCACAAATATTTTTTCTTGTTTTAATTTAACAAATGGATGAGGGAGAGAATCTTTAATCTTACAGATCATAAATGTATTCTCTATTAAGTTATTATCGGATTCACTTAAAAAGTTTCTATATATTTTTTTTAAGTACAATATGTGGGATGGAGGATCGGATTCACAACCTCTTGATTTGAGATATATGTCAATTACCGAGCTATACTCGCTTTTAGCAATTTCTATGCATATTCCACTCTTGAAGAAAGTACATTTTGATGATTGTGCATTTGAGAAATATACAATAAGGTAAAATCACGCACTTTATTAATGTAGGTAATAACTATATATTATTTTAAATCTTTTTTTTAATCCTCCGACATACTTTGAAATATTTTTTTAACCATACTGGCATAGTTTAAGTTTCCCAAATTTGATGCGACGTGAATTTATTCGCATACTATTTTAAAAAATGTAACAACTCTATTTGCTTTTGCCATTCTACGAATCTACTCCTTTTTTTCCCCTCCAAGGGCCATAACATGATTAAGATTTGACACTTTTTGGACAGGCTAGCAACATTATTGGCCAATATCATTGAAATTGTGAGCATTATAAATTGAAACCTTTTCAATAAGTCCAACCGACCAACGTCCATGGGTTTTCTTTGAAACACTATCCACAACCTCGAAAGATAGGACCTTGGAAAGTCGGATGTTTTTCTTTTAAATAATGTTTTTTTTAACTTATCTTTAAAATAATTATCATTTGAAAGCGTATTTAAAAAAATGCAAACTTTGAAACAATTTTCAAAAACAATACTTTGGAATTGAGTCAGCCACGTTGCCGTCGATGCTATTTTGAGGATCAAGAGACGATCATACGATAGTGCCACGTTTGATTTTTATTTTATTTTTTAAATAAAAGGATGGTCGTCTCTTGACCATCTACGCAATGCATTTGTTATCATCTCTTCAAGAGAGGAACAACGTTGATTTTTTTAAAATAAAATAAAATGTTAATAATATTATATATTAACCGATAACATATTATTTTAAAGATTAATCTTTGACTCAGTGGATATAGCACATTCTTTACAACCTTGGTCTCCTAGGTTCGAGACTTACTATGAGATTTGGTTATGCTTTCCTTCCTAACTACTCAATTGTCAATGATTCAAACTCATGATAGTCAATTTTTTTTTTAGTACAACGTATGAGGTTGGAAATTCGAACTCACAATCTTTTATTTGAATATAAGCATCTTAACTAGAAATTTGCTTGACGAGAGATTATGGTTTTTTAAATTAATTAAGCTGTAAAATAGAGTAGACATTAAATTATTTTAAAAAATTTACGGTAGTTTTTGTATAGATTGAAACTCGTCT